CAGTTTGGAGAGGATGTGAACAGATATGTTTGTCACTTTTGTCTCACAGGCATAAAAACAGGCAGGCTGGGCTGAAATCTGGGAATGGGGGTTTCTTCCATTCTGCAGCCTCCATGCATGTTGCTTGCTCTGTTCCTACCTGGCACCGAGCCTTTGCAGGGAGGGGGAAGGCCTAATGCATAATGGGTCAGTTCAGATTGGACCTTAGGAAGAAGTTCTTCACCCTGAGGGTGGTGAGACACTGGCACAGGTTGCCCAGAGAGGGGGTGGAAGCCCCATCCCTGGAAGTTTTTAAGGCCAGGCTGGATGGGGCTCTGGGCAACCTGATCTGGTGGGGGATGTCCCAGGGGGTGGAACTAGATGATCTTTAAGGTCCCTTCCAACTCTGACAATTCTATGATTCTGTCATTATCAGGAGACAAAGAAGTCTGCAGGGGTATGCATGGAGCCACTCAATTCTTACAATTTTAAATTTTTTTTCTTTTTTCAAAGTTTGTTGAAAGAGCAAATGCAGTGTCAAAAAAAAAAAAAGCAATAAAAACCCTCAAACAATCCAGGAAATGCCTGATCTGGGTACCCATGTTGGCACTTTCAAGTCTCTTTTGGATTTCAGGTGACTGTTGGGGGATGAGACTTTCTTCGCTACTACCACCAAACTGGATCAGGATGTAATGCTAAGCATATGATGGGGGAGAGTGGGATGCAGCCGTACTTGATAGAGCATGGCTGCATAAGTCTGCTTTATGTTCAGTGGAAAATTTAGGAGAAAGGTTGAGGGCTTCATGAACTTTGCCAATTAAATAGGAAGCTCCTGAGCATCAAAATTGACTGAGAGAGACTGGCAGGCAGGACATCTTGTTTCAGCGTAAAAACCAAACTCTGATCACAAAGCTGTGGCCTTTCACCATTGTTCATGAATGTGTTAATGGGCATTTCTGGCTCTGTGTAAGCTAATTCACAAATTGTATCAAGTTGGGTGATAATTTCCCTGTAGCAGGATTTTATAGCCCCAAGTGCTGGCTGTTGAAAGTTCATTATCTAATCTGAAGAAGAGCTTGGAAGGCCAGCCCTTTTATTAAGTACAGTGTACCTCTCCGACTTAGGTTGTTGGACTGCAGTAACTGAAACAAAATGAAGCAAGCACAATTTTGGACATCTCTAAACACAAAACTTGCATAGGTTTTATAAAATTCTGTAATCTTAATTTTAAATAAATTCAAAAGTATTCTTAACAGATACAGAAAGCACCATAACTGGTATAAATATAGAAAACTTATGTATATCTTTTTTTATGAGGAAGGAACACAAATCGTCTAAGATGGCACAAACAAGAAAACCTCTACTAAGCAGATGAGGAAAAAAGTTTAGTCTCAGCATAAACACTCAAGTGTCATGGCAATCTAGCTCCTAGGACAGATCATTCCTCAGAAAATACCTTTCATGCTTACACACCTATACATCTACTACTGTTTAACATAAACCGGAAACATTTTGTAGTCTTTAGGAGCTCAGCTGATAGCTTGAAAGGAAATAAGGTACTTTTTAGGCACAAAGTGTCCTCAATTGTTAAGCTGTATCTCCATGGAAAATTAATGATGTGCTTTCGGCTTGTACAGGCAGGTCACACCTAGCTGTGTTGCGATTAGCACACAACCTGACTGCCAGGTAGAGGGGTGGTGGGCACGGTTGGGGTTGGGCTTGTTCTCTGCTCCTTGGCAGGCTGTTTTAGAAGATGTGCCTGAGGTTACAGTGGATTTTTGCTGATGTTGCCGGCCAGGTTGAATAGGAGTCTTTCACCTGAAAGCTTGGCCCATCTTCTTTCCTTAAATGAGTAGTTCTCCATGAGTTGTGGTCACTGATGATTTTGCAACTTTTGATAAATCTGTAGATGTGTTGCTAGTTGCAGGCTTGGACTGAGGCTTTACTTACATGTGGGACGTTCAGAGCAGCTCTCTCCAATGAGACCACTCTTACATGTCTCATGTCACCCTTTGTATTCCCCATGGTCCAGGTGCCACCAGAGCCACTCCCCTTTATACAGCTGTCTGCTGTTGTCACTTACACAGCTGGAACAGCTGGGGGTGCCCCGGCATGAAAGGGTGCCTCAGGGGACCAGGGGAACTTCCCTGTGCAGAGCCTCACTCAGGAGGTTGTTGGTTTTTTTTGGCATGTATTAAAATATAAAGTATTTATTTCCTCTGGTTATGAGAGACGTTGCTACCCTTCTCCCACATTTGCTTGAAATTGTCCAGGAGATTCAGGAAGAGGAAGGAGAATGTGTGCGCTCATACAAGTGTAACTTTTTAAGAGAAACCCTCCCTCTAATCCAAATGACCTTAATTACTAGAGAAGTTTTCCTAAAGCAAGTCCAGTTGTTTTGGCTGGCTGCTTTGGATATAATCTTTGAAATGACTATGTTAAATCATGATAATTAGCTCTGACCATTAACCTCCCACAGAGCTGATTGCAGGGTTGAGGGTCATGAGGAAGTTTTTTATTCTTTGTACTGCTATTGTTTCAGTCTGTTTGAAGAGTAAACACAGTGAGTGTGTTGGTTCATTATGCTGAAGACCATCTCTCAAGCCAGAGGAGATGGATATTTAGTTTTCAAATGTGAAAATATGGGTTTTAGAGAAAACGTGCTCTGGGTAGATGTTGGGGAGGCTCTAGGTCTATGCACTTGTGCCTTTCCAGCATTCCCAACCTGTTTACTTACTGAGTGGCTGCTCCTAGAGCATTTATGCCCTTTAGCTTCTCACCAACAGAATTGTATAAAACACCTCTGAGGGACAGCACTCTCTTCATTGCTTTAAGGTTGTCTTGCCTAAGTTAGAGCAGCAGAGATTGACTCCTCCCCTCCAGCATTTCTGCAGACAGGCACTGCCCAACTCTTTAAAGGTGTGTTTTTAAAGGGCATCTCACAGTCTGCCTGCTGGGCTCATAAATCAGATATGACTCTCGCAGGGCTGTGAGCCCACTGAGTAACAAAAGGCAGTTATTGATTGTAAGGGAAGATCACTACAGGAAAGAGAGCAAGCAGTATTTTGTGCCTTGCAACGAGCAGCCACCCATGCGGTGAAATGGCTTGGGTTTAGCTGAAGGGGAGCTTTGTTGAGGAAAGGAGAATCCTTGTATGGAATAATTGCCTCGGAGCCAGGGAGAATTGGCTACTCCAGAGTGGGAACAGGCCCTCAGCTACCTCTGGCACAAACAACGGGCTCTTGCAGATCTGATCTGAGTCGCTAACAATAAGGTATTGAAGAGACGAGCACACCTAGCAGTCCTCTCTGTCTTTCCTTGGGCTCCTAATTTATGCTTCAACTTCACTTGCTGAAGCAAACCTGCAACAGCACAAATGTATATGTGGAAACATGAAGGACAAAAATCTTTGGAAGAGACAACAAAAGGCCAGGCGGAAAGGCCCTTGGTAAAAAAGGAGGCTTCTAAAAATCCAGATATTTTAGATGAAGGGAAAATATAACCTGAACTGTAGTAGTTGACTTTATTTTGTGATGCAAAGCTACAAAACGCTTTCTTCCCCCACAGAGCTCATAAAACTGTGCTCTGTCTACCAGGTGGATTGTTTTGTTTTTCATTAAATAAAGAAACTTGTAAACAGTGCTCTGTACCATAGAGATAATAATCTCTGCCACCTCCTCCTCTTCCCTAAACACTGGGGTAGGTAGGTTGCAGGTTGCCCTCAGCAGCTGCGGAGCCCTGGGCGAAGCCTCAGCCTGCTGGTCACTGCGGCTTGGGGCCAGGCAAGACGTGTTCCCAGTGCCTGAGAGCGTTTACTGCGTGGGCTCAGTTGTGCTTTTATCAGACCCTGCTTCTGAAATCAAATGAAAGGCTTGGCTGCACAGTGTTTGAATGCCACTCTCTGTGCGGCAGCAGCAGTTAGGTAGGTTTGGTTTGTGAAGCTGGCACCGCTGCAGGTAGGCGAGAGCGAAAAGAAGAGACTGAAAAATGAACAGTTTTTTTGTAAGAGATAGCAAGTAATATGTTAGGAAGGTCACTACTAGTTTTGCCAGTTAAGTCAGTATACTAAGCTGTCTTTGCAACTTTCAAATCGGTAAGGTGTAATGTGTTAAAAATTTCATTGTGATTCTTGTAACTTGAGCCGCAATTCTTGACAGAGCGCTTGTGACTAGCACTAAGCAGCACACCCGCCTCGCTCCACTATTTCCCTGCCTAATCTGTTTGCCTACTATTTGTGTAATAGGAATGCAACTTTTTTTTTTTTAATGTAGCTCTTTTATCTATTAGTTTATTGAACAATTTACAAAAGCAGGTGCTACTGTCTTCATTTATGTTTCTGTTAGACTGGCAATTTCAGCCATAGCTGTGATGTAGCAACTTCTCTTATGATTTACGTGGACATTGGTTAGTTTGTGCCACTTTCAGGCTGGAGGAAACTGCTCTGCTGCAAATCTCACTAATGGTCTTGTGTGTATTGCCATAGATCTGTAACTAGGTGGGTGGAGTGATAAAGTGTGAACTGAGGCCGAATATATTGATGACTTCTGCTCCATCCACTGGACCCATTACTCATGTCCTGTTACAGAAAACCTCTCTGAAATTACAGATAAATTATGTTCCAAAAGCAGAGAAAAGCTCAGTTATAAGGTGTACCCAGTCTTTAATACTAAACTATTTTTCCCTAATCAAATGCACACCTAGCAAAAATATTGGGGCAAAATGTTCTTATATTGTTGCTTCCTTTTTTTTTCCCAAGTAGTTGAAAATATTTTAATAGCTCTGTCTGTATATTAGTAAAAATACATTTGAATTGTATCAAAAGATCTGCACACATTTAATTTTTTTTGTTAAGTGCTAAAGATCCCTTATACTGATAAATACTTATGTCACCAAGTTTAATACAGAAATGCTTGCTTGATGTAATCATATCATTTTCATTGAGCTATGTAATATTCTTTAACATGCCTTGTGAATAAAGTAATCCCTTCTGGATCACTATTTTATTCTTCCTGTCTATGCAGTAACAAGCGACTTGTGGCCTTAGTGCCAAATGACACTTCATTCAACACCAGACGAGCCTACACCAGCGAAGATGAAGCCTGGAAGTCGTATTTGGAGAATCCCCTAACAGCAGCTACCAAGGCTATGATGAGCATAAATGGTGATGAGGACAGTGCTGCTGCTCTTGGCCTATTGTATGACTATTATAAAGTAGGTAACTCCATCGTTATTCCTCCCTGCTGTACTGGCAGGGAACTGCTCTAAGAGGCATCAGAAGAGCCAGTTCTCAAAGACAGAAGTCACTGCAGCTTGTTTTCTCTCTGATACTTGCATCAAGAACCCTTTCTGTTTTAGGAAGCCTGTCTGAGGCTGTTTTGACAAAATCTGAATTCCCCTATTAAATTTGCAGTGATGATGCATTTTTGAGCATAGCATAGCATTCTTCCTCTTCCCTTAAAAGAGTATTAGATGAATTAGCCCCCTTTTGATTTGTGCTCAGATACTTGCAGTATTCTTTGAAAAGTGCAAAAAGGGAGGTGTTGTCCATCTGTAGGTTTGTCTGCTTTTGTGGTTCATTCCACACACGTTTTAGTTTGCTCTTTAACTGGAGTATCTCTCATCTGACAGTTTCCCACGTTATTTGTATGTGTGTAACAATTGCAGTAGGCTGTGTACAGACATACAGTGAGGCCTAGCCCTTGCACTGCAAGTTTGCAATCTAAATAGAAAGGTGGAGGATAGAAACGGAGCTGGACACAGACAGAGATCTAAGCCAGTTTGCAGGAGAACTCCTGACACACAGTTTCAGTTTGTCGGGTTCTAAGCCCAGGGCTTTACCTACCATTTCAATACCAAACTCTTTCTCTCATGTATTTTGTAATGTGTAAGTAGAACTATGTTCAAGATTTCTGCAGAGGAGAGTCCTACAGGGTGCATCTCTTTGTAATGCAGAATTTTCACCCTGAAACCTGGCCCGACTCTTTCGTACTCTGCAAACAGAATCAGTGTTACCTACTAAGCACTAAAGTATGAAATTGTTCATTTCACTTCAACTGTCTCAGAACTACTGAAGCTACCTGTGCTAGAATTGGACAGATGAACATCCGTGAAAGCCATCAGAACAGTGCCAGCTCCCCTTGTAATTCACAAAGAAGTAGGAGGAATGGAAATCTAAAATTAAAAAACGTTGCTTTTAGTATTTATTAGTATAAATGCTTTTAGAGAATGGGCTGCTCTTTCAGTTTCTGCTGCGATCATTAAATGAGTGTTCAGGAGAAGGGGTTGGAGGGAAGATGCCATATACCAACTGTATGGTTAAATATTCTTTTAATTACTTTACTGATTATGCTTCAGGAGATATTCCATGCTTTCATGTGTTGTTGTCTGTAGAGAAAAGCTTTTCCCAAAATGAAAGAAGAAAGGTCCTTTTCTCCACTTGACAGAGTCTGTGAAGTTAATGTGAATTCAAAAAATTCAGGATGTGTATGAACATCTGGAATGTTGGTTTTTTTTGTCTTAGTGATACCTTTTTATGTAGCAGTTCATTAATCTGCTGGATTTTGTAAAAAAACCCCAAACAATGGAGAACAGCCCTTTTCTTTCTCAAAACTGTGTTACAAGAGACATGTCTGTCCCTTATTCCAGGCAGTTGCAAAAGACTTGGAGTTCAGGTGGAATAAACTGTGTTAATCTCAAAGCCATTTCCAGTACTCAGTCGTAATTCTTTCTGTCTTAAACTGGGAGAAAATGATAACTCTTGTTGATGCTTTCAAACAGGAATTTAAAACCTCACTCTAATGTAGAAGTGTAGAGGAGGACCAGACTCTCTTGAATTGCCGTTATTTATCATCGAGCTCATTTGTTCTGACATGCTGGGTAATTTTTTAAGTACTTTTTCCAGTCAATGGGAATTATTTTTTTTCCCCTTCTCCTTTTTGTTGTAGAGAAATTTACCTAAACATAGACCCTCCTTCGGGGATAAATATATGATCTTAACAAGGGAATAAATGTGCAAATTGTGGCTTGGATCGCTCTTCTAAAATATATGGAAGAGGGGTTTTAACCAGCAGGATGCTTAATAGGGAAGGAGAATGTCCCTAAGAGAAGGAAAGGCTCTGGCTAACGCTGTCTGACTTCGCTGCTGTTTTGCAGATATAGCTGATGTTAACCTTGGCTACTGTAGTGCACATAATTGTTGTTTTTCCTCTGAATTCAGATATTTTCCTGACATTTCTTTGAAATATTTAAAGATAAGAGGCACAGCTGAAGCTCATTCTTAGATGTATTGTTCCTCTTTACTCCTGAGTTAGCTGCTGTGATGGGGTGAATATACCTGCTTTTGTAAAAAATCAGAAGTTTTAGCTCCCAAATTGCTGGATCAGTAACAAAAGAAAAATATGGTTATGGCAGCAACTTTGCCCTTGGTGATTTTGTATCTATGCTGGTGTCAGGAAACTGGTATGTGGGAAGACAAATCTTTTAAGTTACTTGGTGTCAATTCTGAGTCTGTTGAGGGGCCAGATTTGACTGGATTTTTGCTTCCTATGGCTGTTGATGCACTCAGCAAAGCAGAAGTCAGTGTTCTCTGATGGCATGCTAGCATGCCCTGACCTGTCCCCACGCTAGGAAAGGACCCACAGACTTCCTCAAGGTAACAAATCCTGCACGCTCCGAAGTGCTCTGTAGCAGGAAGATCTAGTTGGCATATGTGGTTAATAAATTGAAAACCCTTTTTTCTCCATGGGTCTCCAAAGGGTCTCCATGCAGAATGCATCCAAGCATCATGTCTTCCTTCTCATCTTTTATTAATCAGTGAAAAGTGTGTTTGTGTTTGGAAATAAAAGCTTTGATTTTGCGATAGTTTGGCCTAGCTCGATATTCCAAAGATAACAACATGTAGAAGAGTGCTTTGCTCCAGACTGATGTGCCCAAGAACTAGAAAACAAAACAAAATCCCTATGTTTTTTTCCCTTCAGAAGTTATCTGTCTGTTCACAGTTGGTCTCCCAAAGAAAAACAGCTCCTGGCATCTATGAACTAGCCAACACCGATACGGTTACATTTTTCTAGTTGTTGCAGTAGAGCAGTCTGAAGCTGCAAATAACTGACAGTTGCATTTACCTGACCCCATGCCTGGTGTTGTTCTCAGGTTCCCAGAGATAAAAGGCTGTTGTCTGTTAACAAAGTGAGTGATAATCAAGAAGACCAAGATAAAAGGTACAGTATTATTCAAAATCATACACCCAGCTTCTAGCAGTGTTGATCAGTTGTGAACTGAAGGAACTATGATAGCCTGAGGGTTTATGGTTTTCTTCCAAAAGATAAAAGAATGAAGACTGTTTTGGGAAGCAAACTTTACTCCTTTTAATTTTTAATTTATTAGAAAAAATTGAACAGTATTATTAAATGTGCAATTTGCAAAGTATCAGAACATTTCTTGATTTATGGGGGTTTTTTGTTGTTTTGCTGCTGCTGGGATTAGTAAAATCAGATTATATTGACAGTTGGCTGTTGGTTCTTTTTCTTCCAATTTTTGTCTTCTAGAGCAAAAAGGGAGTTGTTTGGCCTCGGTAACCTGTTTTATACAGTTTTATTCAACATAACTTAGGGTCTGCCCAGAAGCAAATAAAGTAACTCAAAGTCATTCACTCAAAATGTTTTTCTCACTCCTCTCAGATTTCAGCCTTCCTCTGTAGGCTAAAAGTGACTTGAAGAGTCAGAGGAAGCTGACTCCTGCCTTTATTAAGACTTGTGTACTAGAGAGAGTGTATGTTTATGTAGAAAGAACCAAGTTTTTATGTATAAGAAAGTATTTTAATGTAAAATAGGTACAAGAGTTACAGTAGTGGGTAGAAGCTACACAAGGTTTATTTCAATGTAGCTCGTCTGAGACAGCCTTAGGTGGTCTTCATTAGCTGTGAGAGGTGAAAGTTCAAACAGGTAGTATTATAAATTCACTGCTCCAAAACAGAATGTGAATTATTTTTTGAGGGACAGTTTTTCATCTGCGAACACTAGAGAAATTCCTAAGTTGAATGTAATTGACAAAACTGGCCTTCGGTGGAAAGCCAAGAGAAAGGAACTGTAATGTCAGAATGTATCTGCTGGGTTGAAAACAAAGCAGTTTGTTACACCTACTGAAAGTTTTATGGGTTAACAACAATTTTGTGTCAGTGCTACTACTATCAGCAATCAGATTGCTTTCAACAGCAGCTGTGGGTAGATGTGGGAATGCTGCTGTAGGTTACCCTGCAGCCGCTTTAGTTACTGCTCTACTCTGATACAGTGATTCCTGGGCTTGCTCTATCAGTAAAGCACTGGTACCAAAGCTGTTACACAAACTGTAGTGGCCTGTCAGCAGCCTGAAAGAGCAGGCATCAGTGTATGAATTTTCCTGTTGATATTCTGCCTATTTCACATGCAAATTATGTACTGTGAGTAACCCATACCTCGCCTTACTCTTTATGCTTATTTTATGCCTAAAGGCGGTTGCACTGGTGGATTGATTTTGCATCCAAATTATAAGCCAAGGCAAGAGCAACCCTGGATGCCCAGAATTTATTGTGACAAGTCATACTGATTATAGGTCAAACCAAATGTATTTTCAAGAGCTCTGGACCTCTCTGCTCGCCTCATGATGTCTTTTCTCTAGTATTTGTTAATATACTCCATCTTATGGCAATAGCTTATCAGAGTTGAACAATCTCCTTCTTTGCCATCTAAGAACATTAAGCTATTTAAGGAGGAGATTTACTCTATCAGGACAGTTCATAACATTTTTTGGTTTTGTCTCACAGAAATTGTCTTAATACCACAGAAGCTCAGAGTAATTTAAGTGCGGGAGAGAACCGCGTGCAAGTCCTGAAGACGGTGCCGGTTAACCTTTCCTTGAACCAAGATCCTTTGGAGTCGTCCAAAAGGGAATACAACACAAACGTGTCTGGGAGCTCAACGCCCATCACGGGGACTGGAGTGACTGTGGTTAAAGCAGAGGAGTTCACCCCTGTTTTTTTGACGCCACAAGCACACTATACAAGAGGAGAAAATGAAGAGCACAGAGGGGTTATCTTTGAACCGTATGAAGTGTCCAACATTGCTCCCCACACAAATTATCTCAAAGATGACCAGCGTAGTACTCCGGACAGTACATACAGTGACACCTTCAAAGATGGAGGAACAGAAGTAAGTTTTTCACCTCAAATTAGCATGTAAGAACTCAATAAAAGCTGTAAACAAGATAAGGAGATTTGAGCTTGTAAGCAAGATAAGATTTGAGTGTCCGCAAGAGCCATTAGGAGAACAGTGATGCTTGTTTCAACAAATTCATCTCTGATCCTGGCTGTGTTTCTGTCAGTTTATGCTCTGCTTGCAGGGGAGCATCATTTCAGAAGACAGTTTTCAGATTGTTTGTTGGAAACTCAGAATAATACAAACCAATCTTTTGTCTTCTGGGATATTGTATCAAGTAGAGGATAGCTGCTATTCTGAAAGATTTATTTTCCCTTAGGGAGATCTGCCTTCAGACCTGTTAGTAGCAGTAAGGAATAGCAGCCACTTTGTAACAGGGAAATTCTTAATGTTCTTCCGAAAGTGTGAGTGAGCAGTGTCAATCTCTGCTGCTAGATAAACCCATGTAATGTATTCAAAAGCTCTTAGACTAAGCTTTACTCTGCAGCGTGGGCAAGTGAGAAAAGGCAGTAGAATTAGGTGACCAAAGGGGAACGGAGAAGGGGAATGGAGAAGTTAATAAGCAGGGAAAGACTTGGGTGTGCCTGTGTGTGGGGGAATGAGGAGGACAAGGAACTACTTTGTAACTATTTTCAAGTTATGCTAAGACAAAGTACTTACACAGTCGGCTTTCATGTGGTGAGTACCCTCTGGCTGCTTTTGCCTGCTGCAGAGTAATGCAAACAAGCCAGAAATGTGGAAAGGTAAAAAATACATAAAGCTGACTACCTCTGCAAATAATTAGAGGTACTAGGTAGTAAAACTCTCCTTGGATTTTTCTCCTCCAGCTCTATGAAACTGTAACAAAAGGACCAGGCAAACTAAGGCTGAGTTCCTCTGGCTGAATATCTAAGAAATTAGCTGTGTGTTTGTGTATGTGTATTGTAGAAAAGTAAATTGTCTCCACACGAGCATCATAAATCAGTGTGTCTGGAAGTGAAATCCATTTTCAGATATAGAACACATTTAGGTCAACTAAATGAATAATTAATGAAGAGGCTTAGCTTGCTGTTGAAAAATCAGTAAGATCAAACCTTGGATTAGAAACACTGTTCTTGATTATCAAATCATAGAATTTCAGCTATTTTGTACTGGAAAATGGCTTTTTATGGGAGTACCCATGGCTTTCCTTGGTGTAGGATAACTGGGTGATTCCATTACGTTGGAATGCAGCTGTGTGCTGTTGTGTAAGGACAGCTGGGGAGAACTTAAGGTAAAATGTCAAAACATACCAAAAGAGAAACTTGTGCTAAATTGGTGTTTAAAGTAGGAATATTTACTAGTAGGAGTATTTACTAGTTTTCCTGTTCACTTGGTGAGAATGGCTGGATTTGGCTGCAGCAGTTTGCTCTAATACCTGCTGAAATTTTAAATTACAAATAAATACTTGAAAATTGTTTCAAAATATTTATTGAGTGACTTAGTTCTGCTATACCGAGGGAATGCTACATTTTTATAGATCCCAGTGGTAGCAGACATTTCAGTCAATCACTTGCCATGTTCTTTGGATCAAATTTTAGCAATTATATGTATACACCTTTCTCATCTCTTCCCTGTTCTTATTTAGCTGTGATTAATTTTTTAGTCCTTTATAGTTTAAACAAAATTTTTTGAGGATAGGCAACTAAATTGAATGATTTTGACAATGTCAGCATCTAGCATTCATGTAAAACATAACTAGTATGTTAGTATGAGACCATCTCTATTGTAATACCCTTCAGATGTTAGATTTCTTAGCCTCATGGAACCTTGACTTTTGATCTTCAGGAAATATTCCTAACTGATACATGGTACCTTTGGGCTCAACTAGTGTCCAACTGGATACTTATTGGGGTACAGTTGTGCATAAGATAAAATTAAAAACTATTTTCAAAATTGCCTGACTTGACAATTCTGGAAACAAAGCAGCTTTTAATTGCTAACTGGTGATCACAAAATAAATCCTGGAGATTGAATGTGATGATCCATCAGTGATTTGGAGAGACATTGGCAAAACATGCTTCAGGAAAAAGGCAAGCCAAGAAGCAGCAGCGGGGCTTTTACAATAGAATGTGAATGGGTTTATTTCCTTGGGAAGACAGAGTACAAATCCTTGCTTAGTCTACGCAAAAAGATTCCATATTTTCAGAATTCCACCTCTTGATGGCTGGTTTTTTTTGATGTATGTGATTTCATTTTTTCAAGAGTGACTGTAGATCTCCTTTTGTCTGATAAAGTGTGTGTTTCTCTCAAACAGAATCTTATATTGAAAGTAAAATACTTTCTTAGCCTGTGTCCTCACTGAAAATAGACAGTATAGCAATCTAAATTTTTGTCATGTTTCATCGTAGGTCTTAAGGACAGCTGACCACACATATTGATAAATAAAGCAAAACAAAACAAAAAGTGAAATCTCTAGGACAACTATGATTTCATTTGAAAATCTACTTGTCTTTGAGATGAGCTTCATTCTTGCAGGCTTGTTTTAGAATCTGTTAATTCTTAACCAAGGATTTTAATGGCAAAAGATGTTTTTCACCTACATTCCTGTAGCAGTTAGGTTGTGAAAACTCTAAAAGTGTGACACAAATGAATAATCTCTGTCGAATCTAGTGTAAAGACCATATAGAATCCACTGCAATTTTTAAAGATTTTGAGTTTTAAATGATTGATGGTTTCTTCTGAGAAATCCTTAAATAAACATAATTCTACTTTTGCTGATATTTGCATTTGGTTCTACCAAGTTATATCTGATAGTTGTTTTTATTTTTCAGAAGTATCGCAGTGTGTCAGTGGGGGCTGAAGAATATATTTATGAACAAACAAGGTATGGCAGAAGCTTTGAAATGTGTTGACTGACATCACTTAGGAATGTATCGAGGAGAGGCTGCCTTCCCACCCTTCCTTTCATCACCCTGGGGCTGCTGCAGGGCTCCCTTGACGTTGTCCAGCTTCACTCTCCCCTTTTTCTCCTGTGCACATTAGCTTTCATATCTGGCCAGTTTATGTCTTCATCTGTTACTCTCCATCAGCATTGCTTTAAGTTAATAGCTCCTCTGAAGTCCCCTGGACATACACAAGATAAAGCTGTTAAGTCCTCCAGGGAACAGGGCACAGCTTTGACAGCGAGGTCACGGAAGATCTTCCCCACCGTTCAGGATGGCAGGATGCAGAGGTCAGATGTCCAGGATGGTTGAACTGACCTCACCAATATTATGCAATTCCCATCTTTATTTTTCCCCTCTGTTTTTTCTACTTACTCCTAGTAGGTGTTCTGGGAAAACCTCTTGTCTATTTGCACTGCTTGTTGTGGTACTTCATGTTTACCTGTAAAATAATATAAACAAATTATCTATTACAAACCATGTAAAAATGTAAAAATGCCAAAATTTTTTAAAAAACTTTCAAAACTTGAAGTTTGAAAGGAATAGCGCCCTTCCTAACCACAGGAAAGTGCATATGCAGAATGGGCAAACACTGCAGTCACTTTAACTAACAGAGACTGAACAGTGAAGTATATAAGTTGATGATGCATTTTTATGCATGTAAATATTTCTTTTATATCTGAGAGTTTGCTCTCACTTTAGAAACAGGAACATGCTTACATATTTTTTCTGGAGTAGGCATCAGACTGTTTCTGTAGTGGAGATGCCTTACAGCTTGATCTTTTTTTCTGAGGGGTATTGAAACAATCATTAACTGCAGTGAGCTCAGAACTGAGTTGTTGTGTAGGCAATACCTATGAAACAGGTATTTAGCAAAGATTGCTGACTTACTACACTAGATAAAATTGAATCCTGAAGCACAAGTATAGTTAACAATTCTCAGACGTTAAGTCTTTCATGCTGTGGCCCAGGTCCTTGTTAGAACGAAACCTTCAAACGTGCATTAAGAACAAAGTACATCTTTCCTGGGAGTTGCCTCAAAGTGATAGGTGCCAGGAAAACTTCAGTTTGAAAAAAAGAAGTGATTAGTGTGGAAGTAATTGGAAGCCTGATAGAAGATCCCTTAATAACTACACAGGGCTTTAGTTAAAACTTGTGTTGAGATTTAGAATGGTATTATAATCATTTGACTGACTGCAGGAGGTTTTCAGGGTAATAGTAATGCTCCTGCTACAGGGCACTCTGCCAGCTGGGAACAAAAAGAAGATTCCCAAGTGGTACCACACAGAGACTGCAAAATTGGCCAGGTGCAGCATGTCTGGGACTTATATTTTTTGACGTCTTTCTGAAACATGCAGAATGCCAGGAAACAGAAGACCAGACTGTGGCAGACCGTAGGCAGTTCTGTTAAGACACTGTGCATCTGGCTTTGGTTCGTCCTAAGCCCTTCTCAGCACACGTCCTTGTTAGACCTTCTGTCTGGTGGTTTTGAGACCTTCTGGGAGGTTTTGAGGTGCATCTCCCAGGACCCTCAGTATGCTTTGGTACACGTCACGCAGTGGTCTGGCAGCCCACAACCTGCAGTCATAGAATCATAGAAACATCAAGGTTGGAAAGGACCCTAAGGTCACTAAGTCCAACCTACAGCCCTACACCACTCTAACACTAAACCATCTCCTGAAGTGCCACATCCAGCTATTTTTTAACCATGTCCAGGGAAGGTGACTCTACTCCCTCCCTCGGCAACCAATTCCAATGCTTCACCACTCCTTCAGTGAAGAAGTTTTTCCTAATATCCCTTCGTGTGACACTAAATCGGAGGATGTGCCCCCCCCACTAATGGTTGTCAGTCCCTGGGGTAAGGATATGCAGCGGGATGGATGCTCAGTCTGCAGCACGGGTGACTCTCCTCTCCCTGCCTGCTCAGATAGGGAGGGATAGGGGCGTACCGCTTCGCAATGTTGCCAGAGCCTCTGTTCCCCTTGCACGTGGGACAAACGGGCTGTAGCGGCGCCCACCACAGTGGGACCGCAGTCCCCTTCATGCTGCCCTCCTGCTGTGTGCAAGAGCCTTTGTGGCAGCAGCAATTGTGCTCTTGGGAAGCGTTGGTACTGCCATCCGTGGGTTGGATGAGCGTGGGTTGGTATTTGCTTTTTACCTTAGGATTACTTTGATTTGTAGCTTTTAAGCAACTAGGAAAATGACTGGATTTCCGTTTATAAGCTATGAAACACTTAGAAATTGTCTTCGCTGATTGAATGATTGATGCTAAACTAAATGTCTGAAACTTCTTCATTTGGATGGAAAGACAGTGGCTTCTTCATTTGGATGGAAAGACAGGATTTTCTTTTTCATCTATCTTCTCTTCAAGTGAAGATTTAAATATTCATGTATTTTAGTGGGTGTTTTTTGGATAGTTAAAAATGTTTTTGTCTTCCCCTTATTTCCATATTGCTATGGCAGTGTTATTTGCTTGAACTAGGAAGTTGAGGATACACTGTTTTTTTGAACCAACATATTTGTCCTTTTGGTTCTACTCCAGCACTGCTTAAATACTTCCCTGAATTAAGACCTTTGTGAAAAAGCTTCTCCCCATATCTCCAATTTGTGAGGATGTCCTGCAAGTGACTCCTTGCATTAAGCTTTCTGTGGTAGCCAAATGCAGTTTGAAGAGATTTATCTTGCAAGGTTAACATTATTTTTCATTCAAGAGAATGTGAAGAGCTGCAGGCACCTTTTTTATTGGATTATGGTTCAAGCCTGTTATTGGAGGAGGCAGCTGGAAGAGGCTCTCTGAGAACTGTGTTCAGCTAACAGTTCACTAGTTAGTGGAGCTTTAACTTTTTGTGGTTTGAGAGCTGCTTCAAGGGTAGAAAGTTTTCCTGTGAAGGAGAATCTTTTCTAAAATCTGACTTCCAACACAAGGGCCTACTCTTTTTCTCCAATTTTTGACTTTTTCTAAGGGAGTCTACTTGACTGCAGACACAACTAAATGTAGGTGCATTGTTCTGTCTGATTCATTTTGAAAAGAAGACCTTGATTATATGTTGTCTTTAAACAAATGAACCTACTATCCCTTCTGGTTGTGCTCTCTCTTTGTCCTGTGCTAAAAGTAGCAGCTGGACTTTCCATTCTCCATGTCCATCTTTTGCCATAAGTTTTCTTATGCCTTTTAAAATTTTTATTATTTATGTTTCTGTCTGGTGGGAGCTGTTGTTTTTCATTTCTCTTTCTGTGACTCTTTGAGATTTGAATGTCTGTGGAAGTAGCTCATTTCCTGCAAATCATACTGAATTTTCTCCTCATATTTAGTGCACTCACTGTGGGATATGTAGTCTTGTATTTCATGATGCTTCTTTTCAGAGAAAGTAAAGATGTAGTCTTTGATCCAAGAGACCTACAGTCCAGATAGTTTAACCCTTGGTTGTGAGATCTTATGAACTTAAAAAAACCCCAAGGCATTTTAAAATACCTGTGTGACCTTTCCCTAGAATTTTACTATTAGCTTCTTACACCTTGCTTATAGAATGCATGAAATATGTAATAAATGAGGATAAAGAGAAAAGGAGAAATTAATGGGAATTTTGTTGGTGTTTTTCTCCCTGTCTTTTCAACAGCACTTTTCAGTATACACTAGAAGCTACCAAATCTCTGCGTCAAAAGCAAGGGGAGGGGCCCATGACCTACTTGAACAAAGGACAGTTCTATGCCATCACCTTGAGCGAGACGGGTGACAACAAATGTTTCCGGCATCCCATCAGCAAAGTCAGGGTATAGTTCGATTTCTTTCCTAGATAGGAATGGACCTTTGCAGTTAAATGTAGTTGTCATTGATTGGTTTTTAATTTTGTTTTCTTTTGAGAGAGGACAGAGCAAACTTACTTTTAGGCCCAGTGTAAAGGTAGGGGAGTAAAAGTGATGGTGGTCTCAAATATTCTGGGGTCTAGCTTTTTCAAAGCATGATCTTATGAGCTGATTATATACATATCTGCCTCGGTTTATGTTTTGGCAGAATGGTATTTGCACAGATACTGCACTTGACATTGGTGAACCTATCATTGCCATGATTAATGAAAAAAATCAGAGAACTTTTGCATCTACTATGTAAGTCCATCTTTACTCAGTTGTGCATTTCAGTCACTGCTTTGCAGAGCATTTCAGGTAAATTGTGAAGAGTTAAAGCCATCCTGCATGACAAAAAAATTTTAAATCATTTACATCGTGTAAGTGTGAGCTTTCACTTGATATTCACCCAGAAGTATGACAAAATGGATAATTTGCATCTTAAATTCCATGGGTAGAACTGGAGCTTGGTTATTCAGCAACATCTGCCTGATGAATAGTGCTCCTGATTTCCCTGGTAATGTTTTTGAGTAAGCAAATCCTAACTCAGTAACCTTGGAATGAGCAATGAGCCTCAGAGTTGCTGCCCTGCACATTTCACCCTGAAGCTGGAAGGGCTGCATATGTATGAGGCTGCAAAAGTGTTTCTATCCAAATAAATGAAGTACTGTAAAAATGTTATGGCATTAGTGAAAGGAACCAATGAAAGTCGACATGAGCAGTGAAGCAGATGACAACCTGTGTATTTCTATCATACATGAAGTTTTGCGAGACTGTTGCTGAAGAGAGGCAATGATTTGTAAACCTGAACAGCAGTTAATTTTTAGCCTGGTTCCCTCAGGACATGAGGCTGCTGATGGCATTTCGTTGTTGGCTGAAGCTGTTGTAAGACTTTTCTCAGCTCCTGAGAAGTCTCACTCTCTGCCGGTCACCCCTACCTCCTCCCTGTGTGGTTCCAGCTCTAGCGCTTGTACAGCTGAACCAGCAGTCAGGGGCTCACTGGTCTGGCTGCAAACCAGTCCTCATAAGTCTTGTTCATTGCACAGCCGTGTGAGTTTTGAGGCTGTGGCAGCAGAAGTGTGGAAAATGGAGAGATGGGAATGGAAAAGGAGAGATGAGACTATTTCTTCTGGAGAATGTACAGTTCACAGAAGATCGTGAAACCACACACAACTTCCGTGATCATGTTCTCTTTGCCAGGCCCCCAGCCAAGCGACTGTTGAATTTATTGCTGGTTCCATCCCAGCCTGACAGAGGGTCAAGAGGTTTTGAAAGTATTAAATCTGTACAAGTTCCATATAAGTGGTTTACAGAGGAAAGAGATTAATGCTGTCCTTGATGGAACAGCTACAATCTGTGCTGCCGCTGCACTGCATCAGGTGGCCAGTGAGCACATACCTGATGGGCAGCTGATGTGAAGATGCATAACTCAGGGCTCATCCACGGCATCATCCCCACGCGGTAGCTAGACACGGGAGATGCAGTGATGACGTTCGGCCTGTATAGGTGGAACAGTGAAGGTCATGGAACACGTGAGGGGTTATGGTGGTGATCATGAATCAGTTGTGATCCAGCTCCTTGGCTTATGAAACAACTTGTTTGTGTTTTTTATGAGCCTGGTGACTCAGGTTAAAGGAAGAATGGGAACAAAAGAGGATATTTAAAAGGCAATTTTTCCCTCTGTGATTTCACTTCAGTTTACCTAGTATGAGCATTCTTTCATTGTTTTGTGCTTTTTGGTTTGCTTGCCTACAGCAGGGCTTTTTTGAAAAGGCTTTATCGCTCTTGTGAAGTTTTGCATAAAGTTTCGATCTGTTTCCTTTGAATCGCACAGTTTAACAAAGGAATTCAGAACTTGAACTGAAATGTTCAGCAAACCTCAGTAAACAGTCATGAAATACATGTATGCAAGAGTCCTGCTCCTGAGAAAGATATTTGGACTGTGTACACTAAAACTAAGCCCAAGATCCATAACAACATGTCCCTTTACAGTGTAATGTCATCTTCCAGAGTGATAAGGACCCTGAACTCCAACACTTGGACCGGGATTGGATTGGAATTGGAGTTGAGGATCCTCTGACTTTGAAATGAACATTTTTTTACTTAAGTCTAAGTTAAATTTTATTTGGACTGCCAAGAATACAGTCCTAGGCCCTGCGATATTTTAAAACTACATTTTTTCTGTCCTGAGATTAAGTGCATTGCAATATTGGACTGCAATGAAAACCAGCAATCTTCAGCAACCCAAATACTGGGGGAGGGAGGTGGCTGGATGAAGATTAGAGGCATATGGGAGATTTTAATTTTTGTGTTCCTAGTTGTTGATTACATATTAACTAATGCAAGTTCTGTTGATTTTCTTAGAGCGTGGTCATGGTTGTTTTCAGCGAGGATAAAAACAGAGATGAACAGCTGAAATACTGGAAGTACTGGCATTCTCGGCAGCACACAGCCAAACAGAGGGTCCTTGACATTGGTGAGTGTTAAGAGGGTCTCCGAATGTTTGAGGGAAGACTGCAGAATGTGGGAAGCACTAGTACCTTGCATACGGATGCGGTGGGATATACTGGCAATGGCTGCAGGGATTGAACCACAGTTTTTAGCAAAGGCTCGTCCCTGCTAGGACTGAGCTGTGGGGTCTATGAAGCAGGATGGAGACCATACAGACTGAATGGCCCTGATGGTTGGACTTGATGATCTTGGAGATCTTTTTGAACCTCATGATTTTATAAAGAAGAGCTGCCCCGCACATGCATTTTGCTACTGGGAAGTCGAGGTTTGCATCTCCTCAGGAGGGGCAGATTGTTTGTTTCCTTTAGTTTTTCAAAGGCTGATCCACTCTTTGATCCAGCCCACATAACAGTTATGTTAGCTAATCTGATGTGTAAGTGCAGCCTGAGAGTGAGATGCCATCATTGTGATGACTGCGAAGGAGCGCACAGGACTCCTACACCCTCAGTTTTCGAGTCCTGTCGGTGTCAGAGAGAAGCGAGGGAGAAGCGAGCTCTCGTGTGCTCTGCTGAGAGACTTGTTTACCATTCATCCCGTCTAAGGTATTTACAAGCCCATTTCAGCCACAACTGCCCTATCCACATGCTTGGGAGGTTTTAGCAGAGGAAGAACACGTACCTGCTGCCAGGAGCCTGAAGTTGAAATCTGTGGGAGTGTCTAGACATCAAGCGCTTCTCCCCTCCCACGTGCAGTTTACACACAGCAGCATCTGCAGGGGATTCCAGTCAAGGGAGTCGGCGAGACGAAAGCAGACAAAGTCTATCTTGTTTTGACCGCCTGAGGGAACCAAACCATTGAACGGCAGGGCTCTCTTGAAGAGAGCACTGCAAGACCTCAGGAGTGATTGAAGAGAGTGATCAGGGAATCAGTCTCTAAGTCACCTACTCTGGCAGTGCCTTTTGACTTTCAAATGCTGCAGCCTGCATTGAGGCTGGCATTGTTTAAATTCAGGTGTATTTGGCCAAAGGAGCTCTTTCTGCATCTCCTCTCTGCTTCTTATCATCATAGTTCTGGCTGAACTGTTTCCCCCCCAATTTTTTTTTTTTTTGGTCCTTCAGGGTAGTTAAGGCAGTAAAATCTCCACCCCAGACCAAATGACTCCTATCAAGACACGTTAAAAGAGCAAGTACGCCACGTCACAGCTATTTCTGAAAGGCTGCCTGTTTTTTTCGTGCTAGTCCCTACAAGCTTGCAGTGCTAATGCTCATACCTTTGAAGGTATGTGCTGAGGAGCTCGTTCTGCTGCTGTGCCAACACCCTCTGACTCCACCGGGCTCGCGGCGTGCGGTCACATTGCAGTCCCCTTACCTGAATGAGTCAGATTATGATGCATATTCTGTAAAATAGTGTTCTGCAAAACAAGTGCCGTGCACGAGCTGCATGTTTGTCTGTGTTAGGATGTCTTTTATGTTTCCATTAGCCTGAGATGAAGTAGGTCTGTGCCGACTTTTGAGGCACTCTGGCACATATTCTATATTTGGACTGCAAACATAGCAAAGCCCAGTGTAGTGAGACTTACTGATATAGCACTCCTTGTCAGATCTAAGAACTGTAAGAGCACCTCAGCGCTTTCAAAAGAAAGACTTAGGTGTTGCTCAGTAGCATTTCCTTCAGAACCACTGAAATATGGCCTTAACTTTTACCAAGTACAGTGTTTCTGAAGTACATTTTATTTTCTTTGGGACTTACATTGTGGATATTGGGCTAATTAAGTCAGAACAGCTCCCAGCTACATTTCCCATAAAAACGTCAAGCTGCATTTAGCAAAATTGTTCAGTTTTACCACCAGGTGATCTAACTGAGCATCCAAACTTGAAGTTGACACTGGGTTTGGTGGGAGTAGGGTAGTTGAACCAGATAACCTTCAGGGATCCCATCCAAAGTACATTACTGTGTAGTTCTGTGAAGATTTCCCTTTACATTAATAATTCAGATCCTTGAAGGGCTCCTGTAAATGAATACTAGGTTACTGTGCAGGCCCTGTGGAGTTAAGAGAGGGAATTGGATATCTATGAGGGAATTTAGCACCTGCCAGGATATGCCCTGGAGAACAGGCAGTGCTGAAGATAGGAGTGTGTATCAGATTTGTCCCACCTTCAAGGTATGTTCTGGCGATCTGCTGGTAGCCCCACTTCTATTTTATTTTGGATTTCACTCCAACCATCAACAGTATGTAATGACTTGATCATGTATAAGGTTCCTTTGAAACTGTGAATAGCCATAAATCTGTGTAACCTGTTCCACAGATGTTTATAAACATTAATATTATAACTTAATGTTTGTAGCATATGTTTAACATCTGTGAATCCTTTTTTAATAGTTTATGAAAGCACTTTTAAGCTAGAGCGTGACTTCATCCTTAGCAGGCAGAGAATCAAATGAATTTGGGCTATTCTAGTTCTGGGGTCCAGCTACTCAGCCCTCAAGAACTGAAGTGACAACTCTGCTTGTGCTACTTTCCTTGGTGGCGCCTGTCTATCTGTCTGTCTGCTTTCTGGCGGGCAGTTACATCCTGGAGACTGGAGTGACTTGTTCCCTCACTGCAGATGCGCTGGAGTCGCTGCTTTCATTTGTTCTGTGTGCTGGCTGGTGCTCCTCCTGGGAGGCAGGGTGGTTGAATGGATTAGATGCAGTACTGGGGCTGAAGATGCATTGATATTACTAAGATAAGCATGTACTTACATGTAAGCAAGTCCTTAGTGCTTAAGGAATAAACCTGAGGACCTGAAACTTCTTAAGCAAGAAAGAAAGGTATTTTCCAGAATTCAGACTCTGTGCTGTTACTGAGCTTTCTGCAGAAGGAGGGAGGCACTTTCACAGTTTTTAGCAGGAGTGAGGGGAAAAAAAATTAAAAAGAGCTGATTTTTCCACTGTGCTGTGAGGTCATTACTTTTTCCTATAAAATAATGTCTTTTAAAAGAATACAGTACTAGATTGCAGCAGATACTGATTATCTAGAATCAGTACCATAATTTGACAAATACTGGAATAGATTCAAACGTGGACATCAAGAGGGAGCAAGAAGTTTTAGATTGGGGTTATTTGTGCTCCAGAGTCTTGCTCATATTTTTTTCTCAGGATAGTTTGTGTTATTGATGCACACGATACAAAAACTACTACAATGGTATGTAATACAAGCTAATGATTAGTGTTTAATGTTGGAATTTGCCATTGTTTAATATGCAGCTTACCCAACAAAGTAGAAATAATTTCTGTAGAGCTGTTTTCTTGCACATTGAAGAACCTCAGTTCTCTGTTTCTGGTAGCTCACAGCAGCAGAAGAGAAAAAAAATTGTAGTCACACTAGTAACTTCCAAATATCCTTGAAAGTAAATGCTTTCTTAATTAAATGAGGATCCTTTTTTAATTATCTTCAAATTGAGGGGAATAGGATGCATTTCTGCTTTTAAACATTGTGTCACATAGACACGCCATGAGATATGTGTATGGCAATTAAGGAAGCAGAGGCATGTGCTGGGGGAAGGGTTGGTGGGATGTCAGGTTCTGACAGTCTTTTAGGAGAAGAAAACATGTGTCTTTACAGGACAGTCTTTCCAAAGTGCACCTACACAGCACGCCCATATGCAGCAGTCAGCTGCACGAGGCACTTTTCTGGTGAATCATAAATTTAAGGGGTGGGTGGATGTGTGCACATGCATATTAAACTACTTATGTGTCTTCTAATTCCTCTCATTTGCATTCCCACACTGAATTTAGATAGTGAAGTCAATGACTTCAGTTAGAAAGGGGATCTGAGTTCACGGTGGGAAAGAAAAGCCTGCCTGTCCTTTCAAACGCCATGTTCACTTGCAGCATCACCAAATATCTTGTGCTGTTCCCATGGTCAGGACAGGGAATTTCTACTGCATCCAAAATCATTCATGTATCCCAAGCACACAGTTTCACTTGCCCAGTGAAGTGCCAGCATCTTTGTGTTTCAGAGGAGAGAAGAGTATACTGGTTGACTGCCTGAAATGTTAAATAATTCTCCTTGCAGCAACGGTTTTGTTATAAATGATTTTAAAACAGTTATTACCTAGAAATGATTTTTAAATGAATATTGAAACCTTTTGGTGTTCTCATTTTTAGAATACGAAAACATCTTCTTTCTATGCCTGATTATGAAACTCGAGAATCAGTGTATTTCTGAAGCACAGATTTGGGCAAACATTAGATCAGGCTTGCTGCATGATGTAATCTCAGACCTCTGGCACTGAGTCCAGTTACAGCCTTGGAGGGTTTCTAAGGAAATGTATACATCCCAAGGAGAGTTTATGCATTTGCCTGAACAATGTAGAAATTCCTTTAATCAAGCAGATTATCTCCTCACAAACCTGGTCTTTCCCATAATCTGTCATCAAAAAGAAGAAATTGTGTTAAGCTAGCTGGCAAAAGGAGAAAAAAAAGGGTTTATTCATCTTTTTGATATAAAGAAGACCCAGAAGTTGTCTTGTTTTACATGGTTTTCTGCCCTTACTGGTTTTGGGGGAGGGTTGAGTCATCTTTGAATTTTGGACTTACTTCCTCTTCTTCTGAGTTCCTTCTGCAATGCTAGCTTATTGATAGTATTAACAGGCCTTTAGACTGTACACACTTCAAAGGAAGGATCTTTGTGTCTTTGGTTCATTGTTCTGTGGGGAGGTTTTTTTTGGTTTTGTGTTAGGTTTTTTTGTGGTAGTCGTTTTGGGGTTGGTTTTTTTTTTTTTTTTTTTAGATAGAGATCCTATATCCAGTGCAGTAATTCCTTGGCAAGTTGAAATGACTGGGCAAGAAGTGTACACTACTGATTATTTCTTCTTGGCCTTTTAGAAAGCTTCTTTAGAATTAGTTGCTTATTTAATGTCAAGGTTTGAACCGTCCCTTTAAATGTTTAAATAGGTTCTAGTTAATTTTCCAGTTTTGGCCATTGCTTGGCCAGGCTAACAAATGCACCCACTTATTCCCGCTAGTCTCACTAATTCCTTTTTGCGAACAAGCAGTATTTTGCAAGAACATTAGCTAGTGATGACTATGCATAAGACTCAAGCTACAGTATATCACCTCTTTGCAATTAGGGTTATTAATAATTCAACATTTGTTTATGTTTGAATTCAACATTAGTTTGTGTTTTACAAGAGATAGTTTTGATGCATTAGACAACCCAACTGAAAAAGCACTATGAATTGTAAGAGAAAGTTCAAATCTTTCATGAGTCTCTTATTTTTTTTGTTATTTCTTGCAGCTGATTACAAGGAAAGTTTCAATACCATTGGGAATATTGAAGAAATTGCATTCAATGCTGTGTCCTTTACTTGGGATGTCAATGAGGAAGCAAAGGTGAGGAAAAACCACGCAGATGATATCCCTTTTTAAATCCATCCTTAGTCACTGTTCCACTTCTCTCCTTTTTAACAAATAATAAGAAGGGGAAGTGGAAGTGAGTGAGCTCAGTCTCTGAAAAACCAGGCAAACCGTGGTCGTTCATTGACCCGAGGGATTCTAGCCATCCGTAAGAGGAAAGACAGTATGTAAGGGCTGTTGGGATGATGTTGTGTTCACACCTGTATCACTGACAAAGAGCGATGTATTTCTGAGGAAAGTCTGCAGGGCTCTTGCAGTGTAGTTTCTTACTAGTGGCCTCGCAGTGATTTCCCATTTAAAATATGCCCAGCCTGAGAAACAGTAAAAATTCTTTCTTTTCTACTTGCAAAGTCAGTGCAGAACACAAAGTGAATGTTTTTTTTTTTCCCTCTAAATTACCAACTTCTTTCCTACACTATTAACATCTGCAATAATCAGTATTTTGTAAGCTATGACTTTGCCTTCTCTTGTGTTGGTACCATTATTTTCTATAGTGTTACAGAGGCTGTCGTTGCAATTGGGAATGAATGTATTTTCAAGGACTGTTTTTGAGGGCTGCTGCATCCTTTTGTTCATTCTTTCTCTCTCTCTTTTTTAATTTTTTTTTTTTTTTAATGGTCAAGTACCCTCAGACATGGGGTTTTGCATTCAGGGATGTAATTGCTGCAGTGGACCTAATAAACCAGGACAGCAGGGCACCTTAACAAGTTTCTTATAGATAAGGCTATCCAAAGGGTGGCAGAGTGTTTCAGCTGCCTGGACCAGCACAAGGGAAATGAAAAGCTACCGGTTATTCTAAGAAGAAGTTGGCCCCCGAAAAGCAAACAACAAGGGAAATAGGTTGTGTACAGTGAGTGGGGGTCATGTGAGACTCTCAGGGGCACAGAAATAATAAGCAGCAAACACTCTTGAGCTTATCAAATGCCTGATACTGCTTTTACATTGAATACACAATGCCTCGTGTTGAAGTAATGCCAAGCGTCTTTTGAATACAGAGACGTCTTCCTGCACGATTCCCCCCTGCACTTCTAGCAGAGCATTAGAGAGATTGCATCGAGCATGAAGTGGTAGCCTTAACACTCGCCGTCCTGGCTTGCTGACTGAAGGTGCTGAGGTTTGTAGTAACAGGGATTTTCATCTTTGACGCACATTTTAAAAGAATAGAGCCTAAAGAAAAGACAAGAGTTCTGAAAACCACCTAGCTCTTTTGAAAGCCGGCCTTGGTAAACAGAGTTGTTTTTGGGCCAGTTGCTATTTACTCATGTAAAGATTACATTCTTACCACTCTAGATGTTCTCCTATTATGTGATTTCGTTTCAAAATACAGTGATATGTTGTCCTCTGCAGTCACAAGAGATGACTGTTGCGTGCGTGTGATCGTTATGCAAGCAAGTATAGCAAATACAAGCTTGGGATGTCCAACACAATGGACTTTCCTAAGGACCTTTACAGAATTAGAATTACCAGGGCTAGAGCAAGGCAGTCTCAGCCCACCAGCAACTACCATCCCTACTGCTAGGGCTGGTGGTTCTTTAACATGTTTGCATTTGCAGCTGCAAGCCAGACTTAGCAAGACACCGTGTTGATCTTGGAGCAAAAAAGTCACATCCACTAGTGTCGGGTGTTATCCTCAAACGATTTGTTGCAATCTCACGCTATTCACGTTGCCCTTGCCTCGGATGCCAGAACATTAAGAACACAGCTCTTGCAATGATTGCTGGAAATACAATGTAGTACGGTTTTAAAATAAAGACTTTCTTATTGTTCCTATATTAAAAAAGTGTGACGAGAGAGATATTTAAGAAAGCCACTTGTATTTCCACAGGAAGAAGACATTAAAATGCAAATTGGCTTATGCATATTTATTTTGGGGAGTAGTTATCAAATATCTGATCTTTCAGGAAGCTTGAACTGCGAATGTCACGGTAAAAGTAAGAGGATTCATAACGTGCTTTAATATTGAGCTATCAAGCATAAATCAAGTTGTACCTGAAAGCTTATCACCATGCACTCAAGTGTTTCCCTCCCTGCACGTACACGTGTACACGTACCCACACGCTTCTTTTGGAGAGGTTAATACAATAACCAGTTGCACTGGATCTGGGGATTCCCGTAGGATGCCCCTGTGGTGTTTAAAAGCTGTGGACTCTGAAGCATCGTCACTAGAGGCTGTTTTTTCTCCAGCGATTACCTCATCCAAGAGAGATGAGAATTTCAAGGCATAATTACAGACTCTCTTTTCTTAAGCGTTTTGAACAATGATCTTTCAACTGGCTCCATTGTTTCTGCTCAGTGTTGTTTTCCCTTTTCACCACAATTTCAAGATTAAAACTTAACCTCACAGGCACAAAGACCTTTTTCTTCTGAGTCAGACAAAAGCAGCACAGAGCAGTTCTTTCCAGGGCCTCTGAGATGTGATGAAGCGTTTTGCTGGCCCAAGAAGAAATAAAGAAAACAGACCAGTTGCAGAAAGAGCACAGGTGAGCGATCATGAAAAAACAAACAGAAGATGCACAAATCGCCTCATCAAAAATCACCTAACCAGATATCCCTCTCTCTAATGGGAGACCAAATCCCACATGTAGGAAGACTTATCTGGAGCAGCAGATTTCTCACTTTCCTACTCCACCCGGAGGGCAACTGATTTAAAGCCAGATTTCTCCTCCTACACTCAAACAGAGCAGTATCCTCCTCCTGGAAGCCCTTCAGGATGAGCATGTAACTGAGGATGTGACAGCCAGATCTGCCTCCTTACAGTGAGCCTGTTAAGGGTTTGTAAGGCAGCATTGCAGTTTGATCTTACGTGGAAGAAATAGGCATTCAGAGGCCTCACTTCATCACCTCAGTAACGTGAAGGGAACTGAGATGTTGGCTCCAGCTCCCTGTGCTTGGTCCCTTGTCTTCTGACTGCTGCTTGGCAAAACAAGTCGATGGAAGAGAATCTTGTACAGCACATGTTGGGCTGTGGAATAATCTCACCGTTGCTTTCCATGGACTAAGGGAATAGCACCAAAGCCAGAAACACCACTCCATTAGTGTTTCCTTTGTTCTATCTGCTCAACAACAGCAGTCCCCTTGCCTTCTGGCAAAGCAGAGTTGTGCCTGGCACATCTTTATTTTTATCTAGAGCAACATCCTTTTCTGCTGGGGCCATTGTCTAGAGGTTGCCATGGGGCTTGTGGTTCAGAGCAGGATATAGGGAGATGAGGAGAAAGGTCTACAGCCACATCATATTCTTGCTTATGTTTCCTTGAGACAAAAATACTGTGCAGTAAAGAAGGAGAAGCAGGAAGCAAAGAAGACTTTTTGCACAGACCCTATTCTTTTCACTCCCTTATTTGCTTCTGTGTATAAATATGCAACATTTATGGGGAAGGTGATTTGTTGGCTCCTTTTGATTGAACCTTGATGCAATGTTTGGTATTTTTAAAGGAGTTATTTAAAAAAAGATGAGGAAACAAACAACAATTAACAAGAACTCTCTGGCTTTTTAACCATCTTTTAAAAGTCTTTTTAGGGTGTGCTAGAAGGTAGCTAGTTGCCTTGTTGTTGACCTGCAGAAGATTTTGCTACAGCATCTGGCTGACTGACAAAGTTCTGGTGGAGGCTTTTGAACAGAAAGCTCGGCTTCATTTTTGATAGATGTACACCTGCCTGCTGGCAGAAGTTAGATTGCAAGAAAGATAATTAAGAACCAGAACTCTCCTGGTCAAAGGAGAATATCTTTGTCATAAATCATACTAGCTTTTTTGAGATATGTCTTCTCTCTGATGAATACTTTGCTAATTTAAGATCATTAAGATTATGTTACTTCTGAAACAATACATTATTTGTATATTTTTATGGAAAGTACTTTTTGACCTTACACTCAAACGTGTGACTTCAGTGAACAGTTGGTAAAGAAAAATGTCACCTTAAAGCAAACAAAAAATACTTTTCAGTGGTACCAAGGAATTACTGATTTTTGCTAAGCCCCGCAATTTGGACATGTTGGCAGGTAGGTTATTCAGGCAGGTGCTGGCACATGCTTTTTCGTGTGTGCAGTAGTTGTGTGCTGTGCCGTTGTTGGGTATATTTGCGTGCAATCATTGTGCTGCTATATTTAACTGAAATGTAGATCTTTAATCCAAAGCATGCTGAAATCTCTGGGAACCTCTCCAGTTATTTAATGAGTTTTGGCATAGCCCATATGGTAATAAACTGTTTTCAATGAGTGAGTGATTTTCAGGATTAGGTTCTTAAATATTGCAGGCCAAAGTGAGCTATGATTCCAGTGGGCACAATGGTAAAATGAAACTTGTAGAGCAGCACAGTCATTAGCAGTGATGTGTGCTGTGACAAGCTATATTTCTTTAGTGTTGCTAGTGATACTTAGGACAGGTTTTGGCTAGTATAAGAATTATTTTGTTCTTAATTATTAATTTCCTTCCTAAGTTAACATCAAATTTCATTTAATTAGGGAGGAAATGAGTATTTTCTCTGCTCTCGAAATTTAAAGGTTGGAAGAAAAGATACTTCATTTTGGGGAGTTAGTACCAGGAGTTATGTAGGATTAGATTTGGCAGCTGCTTCAGTAAGCCATGCGTCTGAGTGCAAGCATGCATATGTGTATTGTGTGTGTGTGTATATATATATATATGCCAGATATGCATGCGCACACACAGAGATATATATATATGTATTAAAGAAGAGTTAACCTGTGGTAGCAAACAATGTTGAAATTTCAGTGGCTTGGTAAGTATGCATCTAGGATTCAAGGCAAATGGCATTTTTATGTAGTTGCTGGGGAGTGGTGTGGGTTGAGGAAGCTTCAAAAGAGTAGTGTAAACATTTGCTGAAGACATTTGTATTGAAATAAAACAAAGGTCTTACCTTTGTATGGGATTTATAAGGTAAACGGCTGGCAGGAGAAACTATAAAACCACACTTTTTGTGTATATGAGGAATGATGGGATTGGCATTAGTCATTTGAGAGACAAATCATTTAACTCTTTGTTGTTACATTCTGGAGGGATGAACGCTTTTAAAACAGGATTTTGTAAAGCCCATCAACCAGGCGTAGATTCTGTGCATTGCCGGTATTCAGTAGACAAATTGCTTTAAGTTTCTGACTTCGTGCTATAACGCACTCTTCCCTCCCTTCCACCCATGGTTCTTTGTGAGATGATGGGAGCCAGAAATGTAAATAGTCATAAAAGGCTTATATCAGAAGTTTCATAACTGTAGACCTATAAAGTGTATAAGCTAGAGACTGAAGCAAGAGTCACGTTGGCTGGATTAATGATAAAACGGGAAATGCATTTTTGAGTCTTGCTTTCTCTTAAGGCAAGTTACTGTATTTGTGCTTTGTACATCACTAATTAAGTTGCAGGATTTAACAAACAGTTGGTAATTCACATAATAACAGTTACACGTTGGAGAAATGCCTTCCTCGAAAGAGAGAGTGGTTTTTCTAGGCATGCTTTATAACAAACAGAGGAGTTGTCATTATCTTAGGCCACTTTTGAAACTTTCTCAGACACCAAATGTTTATCCAAATTAGTTTTTCATTGCCAGTGGCATGCCTGAGCTGGAGACTAGATGAGTGGAACTCTGTCATTAATTGCTCTAAGGTATGCTGACATTAAAAAAACTGTATTCCTGATAGCCAAACATTGCTAAATTTTAGTTTGCACAGAGAAAAAAAAAATAACGAAAACCAAAACCACTTTGTAAATGAATTCAGGTACAGCCATAGTCACATCCATTAAAATAGTTTGAAGTCAAGTGTAGACAGGGCCCTGGGGAAAAAGAAGCAGTGATATCTGCTCCCACTACTGTCATTCCTACTTAACTCTACATTTTCTAAAGTTGTAACTCTACTATGCAAGAGACCAAAGCAAGGAGGATCTGGAATCTGGGTGTCTTCCAAGAGAAGTAGAGCAGGACTTCTCTTATGGCTGTCCATGGGGTTTTGCTCCTTATCTCCCTGAGAGTGGGAGAACCTGCATTATGGACAGGAGCTGCAAAGGAGGGAAAGGTGAGGGTTGTTCAGGGCAAAGCAGGCCGTACTTGGCAGGTGGGTGAAATTGTTGCTGCTCAGAGCAGACAGCATTTCTTGGCCACTGCTTTGACGAGGTGAAGGTTTCTGGTCAGAGCAGGGGCAGAGAGAAGGAGGCTGTCCAGATGGTTCCCCAGGTCTGGTGTACTCTGTTGCACCACGGTGCTAAAACTGGTGCACATCCTCAGTCATGCAAATAAAAAACAGCAACCCAAAAATCAATTTAAGTAACAGAACTTATGCCCTCTTCTTCTTCCCTCTGCATACCACCCGTTTTCCAAATCCAAAGTCAGCATCGTGCTTTACATGGAAACTAATGGAATGTTATGTGGAGACAGAGAATTTTCCCCAAAATGAATGATCTGTGTTAATTCAAATCCATCTGTCTATCTGCAAGGTGCAAACGATGTGACAGAAAGTATTGTACACTTCATGTGCATGAACGTACAGTCATCGCTCCTCAGAGAGATCCTGATGTATTACAGTGTCAGGACAAGGATATTGAATCTTACAATATCAATCTATTATTCATGCTGAATAATCTGTTATTGGTGTATGGAGACTCTTGAAATGATAAAGTCTGTCTTCCCCAGCCGCTTCTACTCTGCTCTGTATTTCTGGAAGCAGCAGAGGAGATGACACACGGTGTAGTAGTTGATTTAGGTGAGCCAAGATCTTTTTTTAACTTCTCAGCTGAGTGAGCAGCATGAGATGCATGAAGTGCTGGGTAGATGCAAAGCCTGCACGTTCCCTCTCACGTTTTAACATGCAGTTTGGAAAATCCCTGTGCAGAAGTATGGACTAAAATACAGTGAGTCCAGATTCTGTTCTATGTCAGACCTCATTCCACTGCTCTGTGGTTCACGCACACTTTAACGCATTGTCCTGACACCGTAAAGGAGTCTGAAGGCAAATGAAAATTCTGGCTGTCATATTTCAAAGGCACATGCACCCTTAGCCACACTTACCTTTGGAGCTGGAGTAGACCAAGTTGTAATTTGAAACAGAAATAACGCTATCAGCTTCAAAATCAGAGTTTCACCTAAGGCCCTTCCCCACCTCCCTCCTCTTCCCGCAGTTAAAGTTCAACTATTTCATTTGTAAATGCAGCTCTGCGATACAATCAGAAGCAGAAATGCAGAGGGGCCATTAGCTCAGTCAGGCAAACAAGCTGCTCTGGCTCCATCGGTAAAAAAATCTGACTGTAATGTTAACTTGTGCCATCAGGGTAAAGTATCCCGCCCCCCCAGCCCTAATGGAGCCCTTCGTTATTCCCAGCTGCATTTCTCTTAGGGATGTTGCAGTCAGATCACTAAAACTGTGGTTTTCCCCGTACCTGTGGATCTGTTGTGCTCTCCCTTTCTGAATCTCCCCGGGGGCCTGTTGGCCTCTCTTCTGCCCAAAGAAGTGTGCATTAGGTCTATTTGAAAGACCCGTTTGAGATCTCTGCTGTCCTGAATGTGCTGGAGCGGGTTTCACACCGTCCTGGTTCAGGAAAAGGTACTGGTGGTTTTCTCTGTCTTTTTCCTTAGTTTACAAATTTGAGGTTTTTTGTCATTGTTTTTTTTTAAACTGAGAAAAAGTGAAAAGTATAATCAAGTTAATATATAATTGGCCCAAATTACTATGTAGTGCACATATTCCTCACTGGGAAGAACAACAGGATTTTATCCAGTGTCTTCTCTCAAGTTTCATGCATAGTATCCGGACTGAAAGATATCAATGATACTTCAGTTCCTGATGCTTGCTTTGCATCAGAATAGCCCTTGTGAGACTGGGGGGTGGCAGACCTTTTTCCCAGGCCCTGTGCAAACACATGGCAGATGAGACACACCTTGACCCATGGTGTGATGGAAGTCAGGGAGCACAACTGGTGGCTGTCAGTAGATGCACTTGGGCATAGAAGGAAAGCATGAGATGAATTTCTGAAGCAAAGGCAGGAATGGGGTTTGCCAGGAACTGAGGGCAGTGTCGAGTTGTGTGGATGCTATGTGGCAAAGGGGACTTTTGAGAAGAGGCAGGGTGTAGTTTTCTAACTGTTCAAGAAACTCCTTCTCACACTTGAAAGACAGAGGGAGATGCATTTTTGAAACTGAAAAAAGATAGCGAAGGACCCTTGAAGTGAAGATCAAGGATATCTGTTGATGTGCAAGGGGTACTGCTGATGAGAGTGTGAAGAGAATTTGTAAAATTTAAAGAAGGTGGGACTTACCTTGGCCACACTGAATTTAGGCTGTGAGCTGTCAGAAGATCAAGCCAGACCAAAGACAGGTGGAAAGGAACAATGAAAAGTGATCTTGCTGTGCATATATTAACAAACAGTGCAAACATACAGAGCAGGTTTGTTAGGGTGAAACAAGTCAGGGCTAAAGACCTGATATCCATGTGAGTCACATTTTAGCAGGTTTTATCTCAGATTATCTTTAGTCAGTTTCCACAGACTGAGCAACCATTAGCAGCCCGAGCACATGAGATGTGCTCCCAGGACACATCTTCTGGTCTGGCTCTTCCAAAAAGAATCCAGCTTGTACACTCTGAGCTCTCTAATGTGAACCAAAGCACGGTAAGTTGGGACTATCAAACGATTCACTTCAAATATGAGGTCCTGAGCCAAACTGAACATCGATACACACCTTAAAAAAGGGCACGCCTTGTCCTTCTTCCCAATGTGGCAACATCCTTGCTGGACTTAAGGAGGAAGTGGAGAATAAATGTGTGAATTACTACAGAGTGGATCATAGCTGAATTAAATTAATTTGAGGGCGGGGGGGATGGTGGTATCTGCTTTTATTTTCCCATTTGTGGTCATGTGTTTCCATACATTTAATAGTTGTTTGCACCATGTTTTAAAATTAATCTCTCTGGCACACAGATTTTCATCACAGTGAATTGCTTGAGCACAGACTTTTCCTCGCAAAAAGGAGTAAAAGGGCTTCCTTTGATGATTCAAATTGACACGTACAGCTACAACAACCGCAGCAATAAACCCATCCACCGAGCCTACTGCCAGATCAAGGTTTTTTGTGACAAGGTAAATGGAAAACAATTAACATGGATAGAGGAGGCACCTTGTTAGACAGTTTGTTACTGGTGTATTCTAGACCTAATGAAATGTTTTTTCTTCTCTTAAAAGGTCGTATTTCGTGGTAGAATTTGGACCAGCTATGTCACACATCAAACAGATTATCATGTAATCATTTTACTGCTTTGTAGCTTTGCAGCCTTTTTGGCCCTGAGTCCTCAGCTTTTGAGTAGTAGTTGGGCTATTTAAGGACAGCATGTTATAGATCATGATATAGGAATATCAAAGTCATGGAAAGCACAAGCATAAAGATCTTTACATGGAAAGTCAGTGCTGACCATAGGCTCATGCAAGTGCCAGTCTGATGATGGTACCCCTCTGGCTCTAGCAGCTAGGATTTGTAACATGTGAACCTTGTGGAGCCATCTGTGTTAGAGAAATGCTCCTTTTGGAAAGGCCTGCTAAGTTCTTTTTTTTGATACAGTGGAAAACAGTGAACAGCTGATTTTTTTTTTTTCCTGTCTCTTGATTACAAACCATTATTTTGGAAGCTTCAATGAGACCTTTATGTTGCTAGAACTTTCTTATTAAAAGAAAACTGCAAAAACATATTAGCCATTCCTGTTTTGTAGTTCAGTAACTATTATTTTCTGCCCCGCCTTTTTTTTTTTCTCACTCCTTTTACAAGATTTGGTTCCTTTCCAATGGGTTCCCCTACTCCCTTGTGAAAGCTGGCAAGATTTTTCAGCACCAAAATGTAGATCATGCCTGAATGAGTCTGGCAGTGTTATGGTCAGCTGTACATATCACTGAGTAGAAACAGTGGCTCAAAAATGTTATCTCTGCATTGATTCTTAGATATGCTTAGATATTCTTAGGGGGAAGCTGGTGCCTGGGTTCTAATCAAAGTTCAGAGATTCGGGAACCTTCATCTATTTAAGTGACTTGGAAATTTATCCAAATTAACCTTGCCATCTTACAGGTGGGAATAGAAAGACAAAAAGCCATGCCCAAGGCAATACATAGTATTAAGTTTTTAATGGAAGGGTAAGAGTTCAACTGCTCTACATCTCTGTGCTGCTGCTCCCTTCCCTTTTTCAATTCCTTCCCTTGTTGCTGTCTTGACAATGGGATCTTGAGGGCTGATCAGTCAGTTGTGTCAGTGGAGCAAAAACTTTGAAAGTAATGAACGTAAAGGTATATGCTGAGGTTTTCTTGCAGTCAAAATGTTACGCTTTTGATTGAAACTTTGAATGTCAAATATTTAGAGATTTGAAGCTACAGCTGGATGTTAAAAGCTCAGTAAATATGAAAGTAACAAGTCATTTTCATCTACCTGGCTTTGAAAAGCAATTAAAAAAAATCTGAATTATTTAAAAAAAGGAAGGAAATTCAGAGCACAAACTCATCAAGGGTGACCTGTAGACACGACTGGTGGAGATTTTGAATAATACATGTTCATTGCATCTATTAGCTTAATTGGTACTTCAAATGTCCAGACTAGAAAGCAGGAAATGGGTGTTAAGTCTTTTAATCAAAACTGTCTCCAAGTAGAAGAAAAGATCACAGTGGTGGTTAAAGCGTTATCCACATCAAAACTATATTGAAAGCGGGAACCGAAGGGCTCAAGGGTATCGATAATGGGATATATACCTGTATAATATAAATGTATACATGCACGGAGGCACACAGAGCTTTTTAACTTAATGCAGGACTGCAAATTAATTGAATGAATGAAAATGAAGGAAAATTATCAAGGTCAATTCACATAGCAGTTTGTGCTAATTGGCACTTGGAAAGAGGTGGATGCTTGCTTCTCCCCTGCTGCTGTGTCTTTACTGACATCTGTTTGTCAGAGTGCTTTTTTAAGTAGGTAAACAGTTGGAGAATTTCCACTTGCTGGTGGCACTGGGAGGATTCTTGGCACTCAGAGGAAGGTAGCTGGTGGGGCTGGGTACCCTCATCTTTCCAAGACGCCAAAATAAAACCCTTGCACTGGCCGAGGCATTATGCTAAATGGAGAGTCCTGGCCCAGTTGCTCTTCGCCCTCTAGTGACAACGACAGGGTTCGGTGGCTCTTTGGGAAAGCTGAGACAGTCATCGCTCCCCTCTTTGTTCTGATCAATTAAAGAAGTATTACGGGGCCGTTTTAAAGAAACAAGAAGCACGTAATTATTTTTATACATTTTTAAAGTGGGAATCGCATCGTTATGCCCCACTTTGACAACGCCAAAGAGAAGCTGATGAGAAAAATGTCTGATTTATTAGAGGCATCTGGATGAGAGGAACTGCACAGTAAATTCCTCCCGCCCATGTCCTGCCTGTGTCTTAATTTGAAACATGGAAAAAAAAAAGGTGTTTCTGTGCCTGACAGTATTCTTAGAAATGTTTTTTTTTTGCCATGATAGTGCCTGTTCAGGACCAGTAGATGTGTTTATATATTGACTTAGTTACAGGTAGAAGTTTCCAGTTTTGAAAAAAAACCCCAATAA